ACGTGGTCTTCGCAAATACTGCCTGTCAATATGTACAGGCAATAAACTGACTGATAATGACAAATAATCACTCTAAGCTGTATATACAATTTTCTATCAATCTGTTTGATTGTACTGTATCACATATGTGAACGGCAGTAGAATTCTAAATTGTGACTTCACCAATCTGCAGGACGTTAACGGTGAACAGCTTAAAGGGCTACTAAAGGTAAATTCTATAAAAAAAAAAATTAAGATGAAGACTCTCCGTTCCGCACGCAGTTTTACTTAACAGTCGATGGACATATCATCTACAATAAACTACGTTTTCGTCAAATTTGTGGTGATATAGTTAAATTATACATTGATACGGGTAGACTAAATAAATGTTTTAAGATTTACATCCAGCGCTGCATGAGCGTTCCCTCAGATCGCAAAGATGGGCACGAAGCGAGATTCTAAATACAGTAATTCGCTCTTAGCAGGAGATTCTCTAGCTAGAAACAGCCTGAATCCTGTTAGTTCTCTCTACAGCCAGTGTAATTCTCTCTACATTGTTACTGCGATCACGCATAGTGTATATATGCGCCGAAAGCATTGCTGATATATAGATATTCTTAAGTAAACGGTCTCAACCATGCAAAAAAAATTGATATCAATATGGATAAAAAAACTGACAAACAACCAGTCGTCGGTCGAGCCAGTACTGATGAAGGACCCCAATAACACTTCTAGGAGAATGGGCATGTATGATGCATAGATCATTTCCGTCCTCGTTAATTGTCTCCGCTTTCAAATGTTTATTTCGCCCATTGTTAAACATCGTACGTAAATAGTGTAGTATAATAATTAACTTCACCAAGCGATTCGCAAGTACAAGACCGTATCAATCTGCGTTTGCCAAGCCACATTAAGCCCGCTGGTATCCGACGATACCGCCAATTTTTTTTTTTACAGGGCTACCGTCACTCAAATCTGTGCAAGTCACAAGCCCCACTTCGGGCTTCAGACTAAACCATGCCAGCTGGCGAAAAACAACCTCTTCCTTTTACATTTTTGCCAATGGTAAAAAAAGCTATCGAAGCAATTGATAGAATAGCAAGGAACGTCGTCACATGATCCGTGAAGCACAAGCCTTAAGGAATCCGACCAAATGTCTAATACGGTCTGTTCATTTAACCAAACAAAAGTCGTTTTCCAATCTAGTAAACCATTCTTGGGTAATCCTCTCGGCTATTGACTTTTGATACCATTGAGAAACCAACTTTCGGTAACTTACGTCACCAACTTAAGGTCAAAAATAAATGTTTTCCATATCAAATTTAATAGCAACAATGACTAACAACGACATTTATCGTAATCTGCCATGATATTCATGCAAGAAATTAGAGGTCTGGTACTTTCAGGCTGATTACCACACCGTGTTCGTCCTTTGGCATTCGGTCGGTGGCAAAAACGTCTGCGATATATTGGCTTATCGAAAAAATATTGACGATCTCTAAATTGGGGCAAACATTTTTTTTGCATTGTAAAAGAATATTAATAGGCTAGATAGACGTAATTTATATCGATGACTTTCCGGCATTCTTCTAACACGTTACGATCACGTCATTCAGAACTTCTAGGCAAGCAACTGTGACGATGATGATTTTTGCATCTTTCTATTAAAACTGAATGAGGGATATCTTTAAGGGAAATCTAAGGGAAACCTAAACAGATGATAATCTGATGGAAGAAGATCTATGCTATACGGCGAATGAACCAAGATCTCCCAATGAGGCTCTCTTAATTTTTGCCGAATTAATTTTTCTAGAAATGTAAGTGTTCTGACTATATCATGGTAAAAGACGACGCCGCCGCCGCTTCTAGCGCCCTCTAACTCCAGTCGATTGGTTTCAATGGCTTGTTGTGATCTTATTGGTTATTAACAGTAAAGATCTGAATAAACTGTTTTTTGCCGGGCGGCACCAACTTATAATCCACGATCTTCTTCTAGTTTGAGCAAACACATAGCATTGCTGTTCGGGCGTTGCTATAGAACGTAACGCGTGTTCTTTTGTGTCAATTTACACAGTTTTGCTTCATTTTTTTATCACCCGTAGTCAAATATTCTGTATATATATACAGTGAATATAGTGTCCCAGTTCTGTAGAGCTTCGCTATTGAAAATAAGACTAAGTAAATATATTTGCGCCAATTTGTAATGTCACCTAAACACCGAGTTTCTTTTTGCAGCCGGCTTCCTTTACATAATTGAAAACTGTTTGATGGTCTATACTTAGTTCCCCGACGACGTTATGCCCACTCAGGCGACATCTGAGTAACCGTAGCGTCTCTTTGCTTAACTTTCTATATTGTCGACAATTTCATTCACTTTTTTCGTAACTGGCCGACTATTAGGGTAGGTATTTTTTACATGGTTCCTGAATGAAGGCAATAGAACCACCTTTGGGCTGTTTCCTCTGAAAATCCATCTTGACCATAGACTGGGCACCAACAACAATTTTTTTGTAGACCTGAGCAGCACAGGTTTCTGCAAGTGTGAAATAAAGCAAATTTCATTCATCTTCAAAGCGTTGTATCTTGAGTCTGAATAGGAGCGAGATCTCAGCTTTCAGCCACCGCGACATCCAGACACGATCCATAATACCTAACAAATATGCGTCATCTAAAAGGAAAACCGTCAGCGTTTTTCTGATAGGCCAATACTAATAAGTTTTGTGGCAGGTTTCCGTGATGCACTCTCTGTAGATGTTTACATTGTAAGAAAGATCATTTTAATAATGTCTCGCCGTAATCTATATTTCGCAGATTTCGGCCGCTTCTCGCTACGTGCAATGGCTCTATCGCACAGTGGCCTCTTTGGGTACTATACTATAATCAAGCAGGCTTCTTAATTTGACAAAAACTAACGAATCGTCCCTACAGGTAGCTTTGGAAATAGGCAATCAATACCTCGATAGTTGAAGTTCTTAAGACGATCAAGAAGTCAGTTACCCGGATAAGGCTTGTTTAGTCACAGTGAACCTTCTTGAGTAGTAATAAAGGAATTTTACACGCCTATATTGAATGTGTTTCTGAATAATTATAAAGAATAGCGCAAAAGATCGCCCGACCGTCTCGATTGGACAATATAGGATAAAATCATGCTGGAATTCAAAATACTAAACTGGGTTAATTCGAAAATGTTACCTCTACAGAGTACGTAATGAGTGAACTCTAAAATGTCAACCCGCTCCGAGTAGCGGCATGATCTCAGCTACCGTTTCACTTGAATACGGGAAAGTGCTTAAAAGCTCGAACTAGATGTGCGAGACAAATTCTCTAGCTATGTATCGAGTCTTATACAAAGAACGTTCTTAGCATTGTATTAGACTGATGATTCATATTTAAAACTCGAGCCAAACTATCCGGACGCAGAGCCCATTACTTCGGGGCCGCCGTTCGCCGCATGTACATTCTAAATCCATCGTCAAATGAACGGCTACACACAAAACAGAAACATAAGTAGAAAAAAACAACATAAACCGTTACACACAGATTAGTATCCCTTCTCTTCTTATATCGTTACAAACAATAGTCATTTTGTTTTAACTAGTCATACATCTAAAATAGGATAACCAGGCCGGACCTTGGCTTCAGTGAAAAGTACATAGTTAACAAGCCAGTCATTATAAAACGACCGATTGTTAATAAGAAATCATTATCGTTCGCAAGTACTGAATGGGATACGCGAAGCAGTATTTCGAAAAAATTTCGCGCTGCGTTGATTGCACTCCGATGAGGAGGGCATCATATGGAAGCCGAGTGCAATCGTTATAGAGCTCAGTTCGCCCGAAACTTGTCTTGCAGATCTTACTTGCCACTGCCGCGGTATAAGACGGTAAGGGGCTGGCGGGATCTTTGTTATCACTGTTCGAGCAAAAGGCCCCATCGAGACAATGAACCAAGCACTTTGTTCCAAGTAATGTAGTGGGAATCGTCACTTGTTGAAGCGTTTCTAACGTCTGTTGTTTTGTTGTAATTTACTGGACGGCAATGTTGGAGATATTCTGTGCAGATGCTGGACATTCAAATCGGCGAAGGGTCATCGCATTTTTCGCCGAGTCTACATACAAGCCCTCATCCTTTGTCCCCAATAGTAGCAAGTATTTCCCTACCTGACAGACCTAAAACGGCTTTAGGGAACCTTCCCTCTTTGACGTCCACCAAAACCGCTTCATGCACCCGTTGCTTGCGTTGTAACTTCTTCAACATCTCGTAGATATACGTTTGTGCTTGACATTGTGCGACTCCATAGAGGACAACCGACCTTTAACCACTGTCAGTTTCCACCGACGACCTGTAACTAATCTCTAATCGCAATGTTGACAGTGTTGCCAGACATAGTTTGTCGATTGTTATGCCATCCCGGCGGGTCGCAGTCGTTCACTGGACAAGGCGGTGTACGTACATATATATATATAAGTCATTACTGATTCAATTTCACAGAAATAGCGAGGCCGAATGACGCATCGTGTGTCAGATACACATGCAGACAAAAACACCGATCGGCCACAAAGAATCATATAGGGCTGGTCTCAGATCGGTATTGCCATTACTCGTGCCGCGCAGTTGCTAGGAGTGGACATCTTCTCGTAGCGATCGTAGCAGCAGCAGTACGCCGACAACTATTGATATTGTTACCTCTTACCAGCCGCCTTTTTTTTTGCAGGGGAAAGCAATTGATTCTGTTCCACTCTGCGTAGCGCTATTTACTGGCAGACAGACTCACAGTAGTGGCGTTCCCTAATCGCACCGAATAGCGCTAACAGCCACCCAAACAATGAAAAAAAGTGATGCAAACCATTCGTACTGGCTGTGTCTGTCCAACACGAAAAAATAATCAGCCGTTCTGATTCGACGCGATGATCGCTGACTACTAGTAACTAACGCTACGGCTTACGCCGAAAGATCATCTATTGCTGTAAAAGCCGTCCCGTAACCGCTTGCTTATCCACGGCAAAAACGGTGTCGCTTTTTTACTTTTACAATGAACTATAACAGAAAGTCATTGTGATTCCAGCGCAGGGATTAGCGGTGCGATTGAATGCTATAAAGTGACTGCCATCCTGCGGCCATCCTGGTCATCAGACCATAGTTGTATGGGCAGAACAGCAGCGCGTTCTGGCAGAGGAGTGAACACATCCAGGCCGTCCGTCAGCTAAGGGAAGAAAGCAAAAGAGCGATCGTGCGACTAAAACCTTGGAACGGAGTGTCCCAGACAAAAACGTGGCACCGGGAGAGCTTTCGACTGACGCAGGATTTGAAACCATCCCAAAAACTCACTTTAAAATATCACGACTATACCAGTAGCTCACCGCAACGTCCGCATTCAACTGAAGCGTCAGTTATCGGAAAGACGCGGGTACAGGGGCAAGGTTGGTCTTTTGCTCCTCTCCGGAACAGAGCAACGATACTTGCAAAGGATTTACCGTCGTTCCAGAAAACAACGCGGACAATAGAGCCCCGTCGATGAACTGACCGCGCTCGAAGCGAAGCAGAAGCACGCGAGATCCACATTTTCCAACACACGTGCACAGCACAAATATTTGGAAGAAGATTTCGGTCTTCGCGATCTATTGAGCGTATCGCTTGACTGTGAAAGGGCTACGCTGGTTGCTTGAAAGACTGTTCCGCTAATCAAGGAAAAGCAGAGGATAGTAATGTGAACCTGATAAACCACCTGTAAATTACTAACTTAGTCGAACTGTTTGGCTTATTTTAACAGTCATTAGTTGGAAAAGTGTTGTTAAATAGCTTCTTTTTCCGTTATAGGTGAATTGGAATTGAGTAGAGAGGCTACAGCAGGACAGGTGTATTCGCATCTAAGCGGCCCGTAGCGATCCGAAGAAAAGTGCCTCGACGGCGTGGCGCCAGAAAAGCCCTAGAGGAACGAAAATATATCTCAGAAGAATATCTGATTCAATTGTGCCTTTACTGATCGAAAAATCAGTGTGCGTTGGTCAATCATGGTTACAATGACGGCCGCGTTAGCAATGCTATTCACTATAGTGATTGTTCAAGTGATCCAAATTATAGCGAATCCGTTGGAACAAAGCCGAAACGAGACTATGGATCTTTGGAATCTCGGTGAGTTAGTTGATCATTACCTATAGCCACAAATATATAAACAAACTACTATGCAAAAAAGCGCAATATATAATATATTATTTAACGTTACCAAAATATTACAATTAGAACTTAGCTCTATAATAATTGAGTTATTATTCCATTTCGGCCTAATATGTCTACCGTGGCATCACGTGTAAATTCATTTGATTCCAGCTGACTGTATTAATTAGCAACCTAGCGGCACTGTCCTTTACTATTCCATGTTTCTTTACGGCTTTTTCTTTTGGGTCTCTTTCTGGGTTATTCAATTATCTGGATCGCACCAATCAACCTTAATATAATCGTTTCTACGATATCTAAAGTAATAATATAAAGAGGTGGTTATATATATATATATATATATATATTTCATTAAGCAGGCCATAGGTAAATGTTCGCTTTCGCAGCATACGAGCCCCCAAAGCAGCAGCGTGAATAAATATACGCCTGGAAAAGGGTACTTTATCTCTCAAGCCTCAAAATTCATTTAATGAGAACCGATAGCAGGCTTATTCCTTTCCAATAGGCCTGCTGATAGCCCTGTTCCTGTTCAATAAGCATAGTAGTAGGCTCGACAAATCCACATTGGTTCGTCATATTGACAAAAGGGTTACTTCGAGCGAATACGTTTAGCGCCCCCGAATGCTTGGTCAGCAAGAATATCATTGCACTTCCTACCTCGTAGAGTATTCGAAATGGTTCTCACGGCGATAAGTTCGATACCCAAAACGAGATCGCTTCGGCTGCGTCAAATGAACTCGGTATTATCAACACTCGAGTAGGTTCCTTCCAGCTGGTTTTTCTACATCAAACACATAGTTTCAAAGGACCGATCTGCTATTGGCACACGAGATTGCTCGTTAAAGACTTTGTCTTAGCGGCACATAGAATAAGGAATGCTCTACCTGCTCCCCACCGCATCTCGTAGATACAATTTGACATTGTCTTCGGAAGAACGATAACCGTGTGCATGAATGCACCTACATATATAAATCAATATTTATCGGCCTATGAAATCTGCGAGATATCGCCGAGGTCCGACCGGGACGCTGCGGTAATTGCTCGAAATACATTTGTAAATAAGGCATTTGTCGAAAAGCTGAACTCAAACATCAAAGAAAACCCAAGAAAATATATATGCCCATTTCCTAATCTGGTGTTAACCATTTTGCTGTGTTACTTCAACCGTATAAATATGGTGTATACGTAAATGACAACGATTTTTCGTTTCCGTATAGTGGTTGTTTAGAGCCACAGATGGAGGAAAAAGTTTTCTAGCACAAAGACGCGATTGAAAATGGTAAATAGAACAATGTTCAGCAAGCCTCTGTCATTCCTTTTGTCGATCTTGACAAATATAAATAGATGACGGTATGCTCACGTCCAAGTGTCACCTAATGGCATTAAGGCTACAGACGCACTCATCGGACAGTTTAAGTTCTCTACAAGGTAAAATAATCTATAGAAAAGTGCCTTCATAATTAAATACTGATAAACATATAATCGCTTTGTCCATCACTGTTCCTAGTCGAAAGGCGAACGAATAACTAGGATATCTCCTTGCTCCCTACAAGCACTATGTCTTAATATCTTCAGTAATGTCTACTATATTAAGAGTTTAGTGATAACCCTTTTCACCCGTAACCTAATTCCCTTAACAACTAAAGAAGAAACGGTACTGATTAGAGAAATGTGGGGCTGCATTGTAGCTCCTAGCACTTTAGCTCCACGACGAAATTGCACCGTTGGGAGAAGAATGAACTTCCTCATTCTTCTATTTACCATTATTGGTAAGAGACTTATCGGAGGAAACATGCCAAGGCCACCAATACGATCGAGCGGGGACCGCAACGTCGGCAAGGAAAACCCGACGATTTAATGAGAGCGAAGCGGGCGATACGCACCCACAACCAAACCAACAGATGTCCAACGACAGCGACAAGAAATTTTATTCGAACAAATCTCGTATTTGTCTACTGTCGCACAGAAAAGGAACCGAACAAGCTAGATCGGATGTTGTTTCCACTGTTTTTCACGAAGGAGTTCAGCAGCATTAGTCATCACAACGTATACGAGGAGCTGAAAAGACGAAACAGAACGTCAACATGACAGGAAAAATCTTAGCAAATGTAGACGTCTATTTGACTGTTCGGGGATGATGAATCGTGAAGTGTTGAGGCTTTTTAAGCTTTTATCTTCACGTCTTTTTGTGATTTTTGACCAAAAGAGACCGTTTTCGATTGAGGAACGTATCGGTTTATTGTTGCGACTTCGCAGCAAACGGATCACCACTTGTAACTTTAAACTGGCTGTCTTCTTTACCCCGTACTTGGTGACGTGTTTGTTACTTTCGGCAAACTGTTATTACTAGTCCATGTTTTGAAACATAAATCAGCTTGTTGGATCTTCAGGCGTACGTGTGAATCTATAAAAATGCTTCTTCCTTTACAAAATAGGTTAAACATAAAAAGGCTATTATTCAGACGAATTGATCCTCTTGTTTCAGGTGAGCCAGACAACTGCCCTCCATTTCCGAACTGTGCTCCAGGATATACCTGTTGGGTATATCAACATCCCAATAACTGCCCGGTTAGTAGTAAGTTAGACTGCCTCTTTGACATTTAACGAGTGTATTTGCTTACCAACAACGAGATCACTACAACTGCCAATTGATACATATTGTCCTGTTAATGGTGGCTATCGATTCTGTTATACATTTCTTCGGGTAAACACATTCGCTATGGCACACGTACTAGCAATCAAACGAAGTTCAGTGTAGACGTGTTAAGCCTCGTTAATGTAAACGTATGATTTTGAGCCGCGCAATGCGAACGAAACCGTTTGTTTGTTTGTTTGTTTTTATAACATCTTGCCTTTTACATGCAGGTCTGTGAATGTGTCGCTTGCGGTGAGCGGTCCTGTATTCCAAGACCGGGTGAACTTTGCCGGTGGTCAAAGCACTCAAGAAATGCAGCGGAATGTGGAACCTGCTATTGCGAACCCTGTCCAGCATCTCCAACCTCCTGTCAACCCGGATGCCGTCGCGTGGTGTCGCATTCAGGCTGTACTTTCTGCAAATGCCCCCATTTTGAAAAGGAGATCAGCACAAGGCGTACGAATTGTTCACGATAGAAAAATAACGCTTTACTATAATATAGTAGATGATCGATGGTGGGAATAGGTTAAGTGTTACTTATTCGTATAAATTTAAAGCATATTTACTCGTTGAACAATGTTTAATGCTGGGACATTCGCATAACAGCTGCATCATCAGAGTAGGTGACGCTTCCACATGTGTTGATCGTATATTAGAAGCAAATATAAGGTTGAAATGGAGCCTTAAAACCACACTGACATAAACGTTATTTACTAATGTCGTTCACTATTCGTTTTTTCCACAGAGCATGCCAATTCAGATGCCGACGAACGGCCGGTGCAGAAGCCCGAAACTCCTAGACTGAATCCCTATGACCCCTAAGACATCTATTTAATAATATCGCTAACTATATAATAATCGATAATGATGTTTATATATACAGTCATCACTGTTATCATGGTTCTCATCAGTCGCTCTCCGAGCAAAAGACGTTTAAGTCGATGTTCTTTTTTTCTGCCTTAGATTCTGCCGCGTTCATTAAACCACATTGCATTTGATAGATAATTGTTCCTCACAATGATATTCTGAAATCGTAGTATTTACATCGATTGTGTCCGTGTAATGCACGTGCGTGTATAGACGCATCTATGGGTCATGCACCGAGCAACTTGTCGATGTACTGATTCGGGTTCGTTCAAACACGAACGGTTTCTACGAAAAAGCGCCCAGTCGAAATGCGTTTGCGTGTTACGGGTAGCACGAGGTCACCCTACTTTCAAACACGAAGGGAAACCGGATCTGATAAATATCTGCCAAGATTACACAACTAAGTACAAACGCTTACACACAGATGAATAATAAAAAAAAAAAAGGGGTGGCATGACAATTACCAATGAATCGTCATTAATAAATGGTATGAATGGCCTACTTAGCATAAACGCTTGTCTTTCATTCGTTTCATGAATTATTCTTTCAGTACGTTACTTTGCGTATATAGTACAAGAGTTGTTTCTTAAGCATTTGTTATTTAAAAAAAAAAAAAAAAACTAGATAACTTTTAATAAATAAAACTAGATAATTTAATACAATCGAGTCATAGACAAGTAGCAGTTTTCATGATCCAATGGTAAAGTGACACATCCGTTATGTTTTTTTGATGGGCTACAATGATTCAGTCGATGACGTGCAACTACGTGCTGCATATGTTAATTATATATGTTATTATCTGAACATAGGAACATGAGCGAGTAAGTGAGTGAGTTAGCTCAGTGCAGAAAAATTACCACACCGTGATTTTCGACAATAGCTAGACACGTTATCCCTGATTTATATATATATATATATATATGCTGAGTGAGAGAGAGAAGGGGGGGATCTTGGATCTGCTAAGGCTGATAGATGAACAAATTCGTATATTCACTTCCAGTTATTTGTTACAAATAGAAAAGTTCTCCCAGTATATGTAGTTTTTTGCAAAGTTAAATTTAACTATAAAAGTCTTTAATTTATTACATAGATTTCATCTGAGATTTTTTCATATCCAGAAATTAAACCTTGAATAGCTTAGCTAACTCCATTAATCATATCAGTCACATCACAGTGAGTGAAAAGGTAACTTTTGCCTGCTTTGCGCTAAGCATTGTAAGTAAGTAAGTTTGAAAACGCGATTACATTCTTAGGTATATGCCATTGGTGCGAGTTCTTGGATAGATACATACGAGAACACCCGCTGTTAAAGATTTACCACCCCTAATTATAGTGCAAGCCATGCCAATAGGTTAACAACCTACACATATATTTATATGATAATGTATTATAAAGATATGTGTTCATATACAAAGTGAGACATTTCAAAGTCATTCAAGCTTTTCCGGACCGTTTGCTCTAGTAGGCGTGCGTTCATCTGCTATCTCTTCTACCGAAACTGTTAGGTCCTTTTAGAACAAAACAATTAACTCACCATGACGAAAAACCATATGAGTCGTGTTTCCATTTAAGAGAATATCAACTTGTATTCGCTATGAAAAAAAGCTTCCCTCTTGCCTGAAACCAACGGCTTTTAAAAATTCAAGAGTGACCTTTATGGAGCGAACTAGAAGACCTTCAATAAAAAAAAATTAGACTCAAAGGGCCCGATCCAACAAAATGGCTTAAACAGCCTGTTTGAACATGCTCAATTTTTTAGTACAAAAATTAGCCGCCTTTTTCTGTAATGGAATAGCAATTGGAATCGTTTGTATGTAGCGTGTTTGAATAACACCTTAGTGAGTTTATATGTTAGAAGACTATTTACGGGCTGAAGAAGAAGTAGCTTGAAAATGACAAATTAGTTGTCTAAGTCGCTGTGAACAATAGTTATAATAAGTAAACATGGTAGTCAGGAATAAAGCTCACATGTAAGAAATGTTTTGAAATAGCTTTTTTTGCTTAAATACAGTCTCAGCGGTAATCTCCAAGAAAAATCCTGCATTTAGATATCTCACCCTATAAAATAATTATGTTATGTCTTACATTGGCGACCTTTTTGACACTCTCTACTATATAT